TAACAATGTACTGACCATCATTCTGCTGGTTGGTGTAGTGCGTGTGGTGCGGGGCGGCGGCGGGCGCGGCGCCGCACATGGCGCACTTGAGCGCGCGCGGCCAGTTCTCGTACGTACATGTCTGTGTACACCAACAATGTTACAAACTCACTGCATACAAAACATTTTGGATATATAGTATAAAACTTACTGAGCAAGCCCACTTGTTGACGGAGGAGGCGCTGGCCTGGCCTTGCGGAGATGAAATTCTAAGTGGCTTTAAACGTTCCGCTACCGCCTCCGCCGCTGCAGCCGAGACGTTAATTCATAATTACTTTTGTGATCATTTGCATTCAAAAGAAACTCTCAATCCTAAAATAATATGCAAATTCTTCTCCTTCGGCACTATAGTGCTAAACCTTTTGGTAAAAATCATGGACATGGTTAGTAGTAAGAACTTGAATATCTCGTAATCCTCTTTATAATATTAGTATGGATTAATATGCACAAGATATAAAATTGAAAAAGATGACTGACCGCAGACTGGCTGCGCGGGCACGGCGGGCAGGGCGGGCAGCGCGCTGGCTGCATCCTGCAGCTTGAAGATATCCTCCCCCAGTGAAGGCTTGGGCGTGCGACACATCGTGCACTGTACACAGTCACACACAACTCTCTACCATATAGATATTAGCAAAAAGGTCCTATTTAACCTGTACATATTTGGACCATATATCTACATTGTTTTTTAAACATAAGGTGACAAACAAGTGAATGAATCTGCCAAACTGGTGATGCAATCTCACATAAACAGGATATTCCCCCTTCATGTGCGTCTCCTTTGCTGTCTAATCCATTTTTACTTCCCATCCTTTCCTCTTAAGAAAAGGGTGGAAAGGAAAAGGGACTAAATTTAGGCCTCCGGCACCACACTGATCAGACGAAATGCTGAATTGCTCCCACTTCACGCCTGTCTTCTATGTGGACTTGGTATTGCACCAGGTGAACCGGCCAATTCGTTTGAAAATGTTAAAGAGGGCTCTACCACTATCAAAGTTGCTTACTTTATTATTCAGTTGTACATCATCTGTGGGGAGTCCCACATGATACAATGACAAATATTGATTATTTTATCACAAAATACACTATATTATGATCTTAAATAGTGAAATTAAATTAAGAAATTTTACCTCTAAATTATTCTGTAGAAATATTGATCTGACCAATGTTTTAAATATTGTTATTGTGTGATTGTTAACATTTGTATTGCAACATTACCTTCCTAGAAAGTGGGAAATTCTCATAAGTACACATGTCACACATCCACTTGCCGTCAGGTTGTGGCACCGAGCCCGCCGTCATCTGCAAATGCACTCAACTCTTTAACATCCCTAAATGACTGCAGTAGACTTATGCCATAAATAATGAGAAATAGAAGCAGAGTTAATTGGGCAGAGATTAAGACATCTCTTCCATTTAGTAGCAAGTTTTATTTATAAATGAATTAATGTATGTTACCTGTCCAAGCTGCACTTGTGATACATTCGTGGAGGCGTCCAGCTGTGCGGGCATGCTCTCCGCGCCCTGCGCGCCTGCCTCCTGCGACTCGGCAACCGATGCAGTCTTCTTGCTGCCATCATTATGTGCCTCCTCGCTCATTGTACCATCAATAAAATCATATGTACCGTCTCCTGGCAACTGAGTCCTATGTCAACAACTACGAGGCTGGCATTGTAACATAACCGCCTTTTTATTGTTTGGAAATGTGGCCTACAAGAGCACTTGGGTATGGAAGATCAGTTTACACCTAAAAAAATAAATATTTATTATAAGTTAATCTGCTAAGCATATTCACATATTCAACACTATTTATTACTTACAGTTAGTTTCGCTACAAATAGCGGAGTTAAGCGATTCTTACACAAAATTTTCTTATTAGGTTTTTTGACAGAAAATCATGTTGGACATCGAAACGTATTATTGTCGAACAATAAAGCGTCGAAGTGAGATTTGGCATTTACTTCTGGCGTCGTTACACAACTTAAAATTGCATCGAGGTGTCGATGGCCAAACTAAGGTCAAGAACGAGAAACCAAGCATACAATTCACTCACTCGCGACGATCCGATGATTACGGAAATAGAGCACGATACGATGTTCCTTTTGCAAGTTTCAGGCTTTGGTTAGATTTTTGGCTGCAAGGTATTATTCACAGAAAATCGAGGAAACAAATAAGAATTGATGACTAAAACGTAAAAGAAATAATGTTTATATGGTATTTTGACAAATAAATTTGTGTCAACTCTGTGTCAATCTAAACGGAGGTTGGTAATTCTTCCTTCGAGATTTTTTATACTAAAATTGTTATAATGTCAACTTAACCCGATTGGTTGTGCAAGGACAAGCACCAATGCGCGCTCTGTTTGTAAACCATGAGCCAATGAAATTTAGTGCAAAAAACAATTGACCAGTCAAATTTTTTGGAACGCTTCCCATGTTGGCCATGTTCCGTTTTTAACTAAAATATTAATGTAATGAAATATTAGTTCTTCTTATTAGATTTTTTTTTCTCATTTGAAGACTGAGTTAGCATTCGACTCGGAATGCAATTATACGATCGTTTACAATTGCAATATTATGCAACTCTCTTGAAAATATCACAGAATAAAATCTTTAAAAATTGGAGATCTTACCACAATAGTTTAAATTTATCTAAGATCAATACTTATTCTTCTCGTAAAATAAATTAGTTTTCCTGGAAACGTCACAATTTGCCAGACGTTCTATAGGTTTCTCCACATATATCTACAAGAATTTATGTTTTCGTTTACCCAGATAAATTGGTCGCACTATACTGATATTTCAACTTTTTGTGGAAGAAGTGTCAGTTGAAATATGTCTACGAAACCTACGTTTCGCTTTTGGTACTTGAAGGACAATTATATATTTTTTGAATGAATTTCAGTCACAATATATCGAAAAGCTCTCTCAGATCTTCGTCATCTTCTAGCAAAAGTATTTATCAACCGGAAGAAATAATAAAACTTGAAAACATAATTTCAACTCTTCAACATAACAACGAAACTTTAAAAAAATCTTTGGAGAAGAGAGACACTGCGATAGCGATTTTAACAAGAGAGAAAGAAAAAATATACGAAGAACTGAAGTGCGCACAGAGGACAAATCGAAATCTTTACCAGCAGTTAACGGACGAGAGGTAAATCATCTCTACGCGACCATCCGCGACCGTTGCATTTGAGTTTTTCTACTTTATACCTATGATGAATGAATATGCTTTTTTCTTAGGGATATTCATTTTAAGGAAAAGGAATATTTGGTACAAGACATTAAAAGGTTATCTATAAGACGTGATACAAACACAATCTTTGAAACTCGTGTAAGTAATTAGACTGCTTGAAAACTATATAAACTATATGAACTACTTGTATTCTAATGTTTTTTTTTTATCAAGTGTGAAGGAGAAGGATTATTTTCGTCATTTGAAGAGGAAATCCAAGAAAAAGATCGTATAATTTACAACATATGTACGAAATATTTAAAAGTGAAATCAAGCAAAATGTCTTTGCAAAAAAGATTTCTGAAATTACAGAAGCAAAGTAAAAGGGTATGTTAAGTTTATCATAAGCCGAAATAATTAACGGCTAATCCTACTGTACATACGAATTTCAACTTTCAGTAAAATAATATTTTTTTTGGTGTCCTGTCCTGTCCTTTTCGGTAAGTTTTTCGTTTTGCGCATAATTTTTAGATTAAAATGTTTTTCAGATGTGCGATAACATAGTGTCCATATTAGAAGAAAATAGAGTCGTTTTGGACGCGCTACTCAATCGTTTATTAAAAATGTCTCATATATCGAAACCTGGCAAAAAGTTTATTAAACTATTGCAAATTAACACCAGGCTGCATTACGAAAATACACAACTAAAAATACAAATGACGCATGAAAATGAAATTAGTTCAAGAAGAGGGTTAAGCTTATCAAATATTAAATTCCAGAAAAATTCTATTTCTGAGGAGAAAGATAAAAATGTACTAAAAACCAGGAAAACACAGCTAAGGCGTTCATTATCGACGAATGCTACATATTTTATCAGACGTCATGAAGGTTTAACTAATTTTAAAAGTTTGCACAACAGCTTATCGCCGCATTTTCGTAAAGAAAATTGTAAATCACAATCCGATAGCAACTTGCTTTATTTTAAATAGATTTATAATAAACTGTTTTCCTATTTTTATCTCTTTCCATTACCATGTATCCTTTTGATTATAGTGTTAAGGTAAAAATAAAAATTTGATGCGGTGAGATAAAATAATAGGAAACTTAGTACGGTAGTTAACATTGTGCATAAGATTTTAATTCAATGCTATTAATCAAGTATCAGGTAGTATCAGCAGGACTTTTATCAAGTTTTTGTGACATTGCGATACTCACTCTGTGTACAACGCAACTGCAAAATACTCTTTGCCCCTTTCCAAATCGGGCAACACTGGTCCCAGATTTGTGTGTGCCGGCAACGCATGAGAACGTGTCGCAAAATCTCAATAAATTAGTGAAATCACCATGTCGGACGAGTACTTTTATGGTGAGTTTTATTCTGTATTAAGTCCTGTAGTAAATCGAGGTATTATTTATGGTGTAAACCTAGTACTTGTTCTTATTAACCGCCTCTTGGTGTATCCCTTTTGACACCCGGCTATTTCGCCATTTTATTTTTCGAAAATAGTTGTAATTGATATAATATGCCCTGAAAATGATTATAGTATACATATGAAAATGTAAAATCCGCAGGTATGTTAATATATTCTAGCGTTTATTACATGTTTATTAAATTGCCGCCATTTTCAAGTTGAAATGTTACTGGATTTATAATTATTGTCATTCATTGTAATGGCGTTTCTAAATTTAAGTATAAAACGCCGCTTATGGCACATAATACTGGATAAGGTTAGTCTCAATGTGCGTCCGAAAAAGCGTGTGATCAGCATGGGGAATTGTAGTGTCAAGGCGGGGAATTTGAAAGTATGGCGTCCAAGCGTCTCCGGCGAGGCGTTTCAGTTTGTTTCGTTGAAATGTGCGTTATGCAGTAATTAGTCTTATTTACAGTAGAAGTTGACATTACAACTCTAAAAAAGTTATTTTGAACATTATATTATAAGATAAATATTGTTATCGACTTTGGTTTATAGGTGTAACCCTATCGTCATCACATCAGTCAGAGACATGGGATCCGGAAGCGAAAGCCGAGTATCCACGCAGCAATAAGCTATTAATTCGTCAGGCGCTGTTGGGGCCAGACGCTAAACCTGATGAACTCAATGTTGTACAGGTACTGTTTGTTTATTACACTTTAAAATACTAGTGTCGAAAGTCACTTTTGTTCAAGTTGCATGATTGTAGTTCGTCATTGATTTAGTAAACCATGTAATGTGGTTAGTGATCTTAAGGTTTTAACAGCTTTTATTTACTGCTTGTTCCTCTGTTAATCATGTAAAAATATTTACTATATTAAAGTCTGCATATGAATTATTATTGTGATTTTGTTTCCAGGTGGAAACCATGTGCCTACAGGACTCAATTAAGATTCCTGTAGCTATACTAAAAGTGGGCGAGACGAGGCACGCGCGCTTAGACATCGAGTTCCCCGATGCACCTGTTACATTTACTCTTACTCAGGTTAGTTTTGTATTTTTTTTATAACTTTAAAATGTTGTGTTTATATGTTTTAAGATCTAATAAAATAATTTTATTTTTGTGTACTTTATTTGTCATACTTCTTATGTGATATGCAAATATCTATATGATGATAAAACAAACCATTTTTATTTGACGGGTGTGTAAAGTCGTTTTGACTTTACACTGCCTGATAGTGATTGATTTGAGGCATTTGTCTGATTTACTCATCTTTTATATGTAATGTGTAAATTGTAAACTCTTATTTATACATAATGAAATGTATCTTTGCAGGGCTCTGGACCAGTCCACCTTATTGGACAACATTTACTGGGCGCGCTTGTGGAGGAATTTGAAGACATGGATGAGATGGAAGAGGAGATGTTGGATGAAGAGGAAGGAGACGATTCCCAATTCAAGGTTGGTGAACTGTAGCAGTTACCTGTCATATCTGAAATATTTACCAGAATAAGTTTTCAATACAATGAGGCGTATTCTATATTTCAAAAAGTGATCTCGTGTATTTGTGAAGTTTGTAGTTAGCAAAAAATTAATTTACTAAGATGAATTTGATATTGGTGATTTAGTAGACAACTAAATTTACAGGAAGATGAAAATAAAAGGAAAGGAGCAACTGGAAAGCGCAAGGCAAATGAGGTACTGAAAACCTTCAACTAATATCAAATTACGTATGGGTTCCTTACACGCTCACCAGAGGGAAAAGGGCAGTGGCCCAATTCTGCAATATAAAATGGCATCATTACCTTGTAACAAAAATCAAGTTGTTTCTGTTGCCATTATTATTTGGTGAAACTGGGCCCTAAAAGTGCAAAATTTTGCAGAATGTGCAGAGTGAACGACCACTCGCATTATCATTGGCTGTTGGTTTTCTGTACTCATTCAGTAGCCCTTTACCTTCTGATAGCTTAGCTGTAATTTGACATATTGTAAAATGTTAACTTTTTACAAATAGCACCAATTATGTTAACAGGATGAAGATGATGACGAAGGCGAGCCCAAGGGTAAGAAATCGAAAATGTCCAACAATGCCAAAGGCAAGGCCACCTCGCCCAAGAAGAATGCAAAGAAGTGAACCGCCTCCATGCCCGAGCACCGCTCACAACACACCTTCACTTAGACCAATTCTGTTGGAGACTGATTCCTACTTTAGGTAAAATTACCTATTACAATTTACTTTAAGTCAGTTTCAAACTCGGTTCAAGAAAACAATCTCAAATGTAATGTATGGTGATGAGTTTGAGCGGCAGCGGAGGCAGTCTAGTTGTAACATTAGTGTGGTAATTGAGCCTAGGTTAGCGTTGTGGACTGTGTGCGTGTGTGGTGTGCAGGCGGGTGCAGGCGAGCGCACTCGCCCCTCGCGGCAAGTGCAACATGCGGCACAATCCCGTGTGCTGGTGTCGAGTGTGATTACTTCACTATTTTTCAGTACTAAATTTCATTCCTAACTGTGGTATAGTGTTATTGACGTCAAATTTATGATAAGCCTTTATTCACACAGATGTATTTTTAAGTTAAGAGGTAAGCATAATCAGTGTACATTAAGTCATTGTCGACTAGTTGCCGGAGACATTATTCAAATTGCGACACGTTTCAGATTGAAAACTGTACATATAAACATGTAAGAACGGTATTAATAAAACCATTTTTAAACAATTCTATTTGCCTTTTATTTACCTTTAATTATCTTTTGAAATAAACTCAACTGCTAAACTATTTTGTGAATGTCAATGAATGTCTAACTTGGTGCCACTATACAAAACTTGTACTTACAAGTTTAAGGAACAATAATCCAATTTTCTCATACAACTGTAACACTGAGTGGGGAGGGGGGAACTACTGAAAATAGGGTTAATCATGATTTGTAGTCCAAGATCTCAGTAACCATCCTTAAGTGCAATTGTGAGGCACCAACAGCAGGCTAAGCTTCTGCCTCTAAGAGATAAAATTTGTATGCATGAACAAAGTTTAAATCAAGTGGTGTTACCGTTCCTGTTTCTCGCATGTCAACACATGTTAATGCCTGTTAAGTAGTGCATGAAGGATATTGTTTCTCTCCCTCTGGATTGCATTTGAATCTTCAATTACTTGAACCAACTTCTCAAACTTATCTTTTCCTTCATTCTGACGCATACTTCTAACAGCCGTTTTAATTTCTGTTAATGTGACATTGTCAATAGCACACCTGTGATTGCACTCCCTATTTCTATTTACTTTTGGTTGATCATATATTTGTTCAAAGTAAGTGTAATATGGCCATTGGTTACATTTACCCGTTGCTCTTTTTTTCTCTGCTAGTCTAATGTATGTCTGTTTTAAGTTTCTGAATTTTTTATCACACTCTTCCGTGGAGAGGCCTAAAGTGGGTCCTATCTGTCGCCATAGGTTTTTCTTTTTCATTAATGGGTCTCTAAACTTTTCCTTATTATTTAAGTAGAAACCTAGCAATTGATGAACATAATCTACATCCTGGTTTTTGTACAATAGTCTTGGATTGCTACCACTGCTATTGTAGTTAATGTTCTCATATATTGATTCAAAATCCTTATAGTAATACCACTTTGTTATAGATCTACCAGTTTCTGCTCTCATTTTTAATCTTATGTATGTTTGTTTTAAATTTCTGAATTTTCTATCACAATTACTTGGACTCTCTCCTACTACATGTGATATTTCTTTCCAAAGTTCTTTTTTTTGCATTCTGGGGTTTAAAAATTTGTGGGCTATTTGACCATATGCTGCAATAAGTTGTTGTATTTTATTCCTATCCCAAGGGCCAACATTAGGATTGTAGTTGTAAAATATTCTTTCAAAATAGTTTCGGTAAGGCCATTTTATTAATTTTCCAGTGTCCCTGGTTCTCTCCAACCAATTAAAATATGTTCTTTTTAGATTTTTGAACTTGTGGTAGCAATTGTATTCTGTTGTATTCAACTGTAGAGCAATTTCTTTCCAAACATCTTTCTGCAAGCAGTCAGGGTTTCGAAATCTATTAATATTTTCTAAATACAGGTTGAGCATCCTTCTTATTTTGGTATCTTCCCATGTCTCCAGTATTGAGGGTGACAAGGATTTACAATCTTTAAATACTTCTTCACAAATGTTGTAATGTATCCATTTTATATCTTTGCCTAATCTTTTCTTTTTTAGCAACCTAATGTATGTTCTTCTAAGATTCCTAAACTTCTTGTCACACTCTCCTGGAGAAGTTCCAACATTGAGAGCAATTTCATTCCATAGAAATTTATCTTTATTTACATTTTTATATCGTTGGTCAAGGCAGAGTGTGAGCAATAACTTTATTTTGTTCTTATCCCAAAATGTTTCCTCTCTTAAGGTCTCTAGTGCATCTTTGTTACAATGCTCTAAAGGTTCATCAGATATTGGTAAAGGGGCTTCATTTATTTGTATGTACTGCCTGTTATCAAGAGCCTCTATAGCACTCCTGGTGTCTTGGCCTGGAACTAAAAATTATCATTATTGCACTTGCTAAATTCTTGAAAATGGTTATACCGAATCTTTCTTGTAGAATTTGTATATGTCTATCTAACAAGGTGCAGGAAGGATAATAGCAATATATTTTCTGTACTGATATTGATATTTATTATGGTGTATACCATAGGTGAGAATAGAGTAAGATGTTTATCAAAAGCTACATGTATCAAAACCAATCAAAGTATAACTATTTAACGAACGTTTGTTTTATACTAGGGTGTGAAAATTATTACGAACATCTTGAATTCATGGTGTTATACATACTCTGAGGATTTTGTATAGCGAAATTATTGCTACTGAAAATAACATTGCTTTGATCTTCTCTGAGGACAAACCAATAACTTTGGTTATGTGAGTGTGTAATATCCATCTCGTTATTTGGACTAATTATGTCCTTATTTCTATAATTTACGGCTATATCTTGTTTAACAGTTATACATTGTATTATAATTCGTATTGTTGACAGACAACACTTGTTTCTAGGTTTCTTTTCTACAACCTTTATAAAAATAACAAATTATAAAAACATCTTTGATCAGATTTACAGAGTATAAAGATCAATGATTACCATAGATAGATGGTTAGTGGTATGGTAACCTTTTTGGTAACGTCCGTATTGTTTCTGGTTGCAATGAATTTGCGACCGGAACGGACCAGTGCTACCAGTGCTACAACAAGTGCCGTATTCGACGGCTTTCAGGCCATCAAATTACAAAATCTACTCTTAGGGCCGCAACAGATACGGATTTTTGTAGATCAAGAATAATTTACATTTTCTTAAATAAATTCATTTTAAAAAGCTATTGAATAACAATGTCTTCTTTTAAAGGAGGGAAAATTTGAACACAATTCGTTGATTTTAAACTTAACGTTTATAAAGTTGTTAGCTTAGTAGCAACATATAGCTTTTGTTGAAAAGCTTTTCTTTTTGACTGGTTATAGGGTTACATCCCACCGATGACCATTTCCCATCTAAACACGTCTTTTTTACACGATATACACGTACGGCCGGGTAAACATTTTCATTGGCAACATTGGAACTGAGTGCCGGCCAACGAAGAGTGCCAGGTGCCAGAAAAAACCATAGTACAAAAAATAAAAAACGAATTACGAAAGACGCCATTGTTGTTTTGTTCGTTCTCAATACAATCAAGTTATCAGTTTTTAGTCCTTTAAGTGTTTATAACATTACGTATAAAACGCTGAATTAAATCATCGGAGGATTAATTAATCATGTTTTGATTATTTATTTGTTTAAAACTGAAGCTGTATAAACGGTAAGTTCAGAGTGACGCGCCGGTGGATATATTTTTTTCATTATGTAAATGATTTGTACGTTTTCAGATTTTTAATGTTTGTTATGCCTTGTATTTGAAGAAACTTTGTTTTGTGAAAACACGCATATTTTTATATCAAAGGATTTGTTTTTGTGTTCACAACTGTCAAATGTATTATGGCGGGAAAGACACCATCGTATTATCTCATGTACAAGTGTGTAATAGCAATGAGGATGAAATATGCATCGTTTTGAACTAAGTTTTCTTATAACAACTTGTGTATATATTATGGCATGTGAATTAATTAACATAAAATTGTAATTTGATGTCAAGTGATAGGTTAGTCTTCACCTAAGTAAAGTAACAAATAACCAAGCGAATAAAAAAAATTAACAATGCATAATTTAAAGTGATAATTAAAAAAAACAGTCCAATAATAAGATATGAACAGTTAGTATATTTGTTTGTAACTGTTGTGACAAGGAGTACATTGTATGTAATGTGTGAATGCAGGCATGTCCGGGGGCCACCTGGCCGTGCTGGACCGGTTGGGGCGCGAGGTGAAGCAGTACGCGCTGCCCGCCGGGCTGGCCACGCTCGGCAGCAGTGCCTCATGCGACATCCGCTTCATGCTGCCCACAGTGGAGCCGCACCACGCTACTCTTGTTGTGCATGATAAGCAGGTTTCACTTTATGTTGCTACTTATTCATAATTTTTATCATTAAAATTTCAATTGCGACACTGAGAGCTAAAAACAATAGTGGTTATTAGTAATGGTATAACTGGCACATGTTCCGTTTGATACAGTGGTTGCAGTTCATAGTTTGTGTGGTGTATGAGGTTTATCTCATCCCGTGTTCTTGCGAGGCCTAAGTCGGTTCAGTGGCCGGTGTCTGAGAAGTTATCAGGTCGCTGTGTGTTTGCAGACGGTGGTGCACAACGTGGGGTGCGGGCAGACACTGGTGAACGGCGCGGCTGTGAGCGTGGCC